TAGAAAGGTTAAAAGAGAGGAACCTTGAATAATTTTTGTAGTAAAACCATAAGCCATAAGCAGAATGCAGATACATAGCGCATGCGCTCTTCAGAATGTCGAGTTAGCAGTACGCGTGCGCCATGTCTTCTGCATTCTGCTTATGGCTTATGGAATTTCCTTCCTTCCTTCCTTTCCTTATGGCTATATCCCCAATGGGGGATATGTGCCAGTAACTGGTCCTAATAATCAAGGTTGGAAGTTCGACAATAGATGGCGATGTACATTGCGAGACGGGCCTTATTCAACTCAGCGTGAGGGGACCTACAAAGTTTATACACCGAATCCGAACAGTGTTGGGCGAAATCCGTATAAATACTCACTTAAGTTTTCATATGAAAACCCATTGGTGAATGCCGCTGGAAGCTGGGCGCGAACCTCCAACCTTTCGGTCGTGAATCCGCTACCCTATCCCCTGGGCTACAGCCGCCACCCTTATGGAATTTCAACCCACATAAAAGTCCATAGTCCATAGGACCATTATAGGCATAGAGTGGCATCAACAGACTGCAATAAACGCAAACAAGAACTGAATAGCATCAAAATAATCTACAAAAAATTGGGTAAGTTCAACAAAAAGTTTTAAAACATGAGAATTTTCACTATCTAATGTTGAATCTAGCAAAAGCTTCTATAATGTCGATGACTACATTCAAGTAATGGAATAAATTCTTTCCATTCTACAACGTAGTATTTTGAGATTAAAGTTAGTTAGATTGAATTTTTATAAACTTAGATTCAACGTTAGTTAGTCAAAATTCTCATGTTTTAAAACTTTTTGTTGAACTTACCCAATTTTTTGTAGAATATTTCGATGTTATTTACTCCTTGTTCGCGTTTATTGCATTCTGTTGATGCCACTTTATGCCTATAATAGTCCTATGAACTATGGACTTTTATGTGGATTAAATTTTCATAGGCCATAAGCATTTTGAGGAGCCCATGCGCTATGTATCTGTATTCTGCTTATGGCTTATGGAATTTTATGTGAAGGGACGCCATATTAAGAGCTTGTTTGGCGCCACCAGAACATTGCGCGCGGATTCCCAAACTATCAATCTTTACCATCAAGAGACTCGGTCGAGTCTCGCACCAAGTACAGGCAACCCGCCGTACAGGGCTTAACACTACCCACACTACACAATGCGAATCTCTCTCATATACGTATTCAAACACACCATTCTATTCCGGAAAGAGCCCATAATAAGGCGGAGCCAATCACTGACAAGCCCCACCGTTGGCCGGACTCTTACTAGAGGGACTCTACCAAAACACAGCTCCAGATTCTCAAGCGTAATATTACTATATATACTCAACCAATCAAAAACGTGGAACTGCTTCCCGGTCCCTCCGCTAAGGTGGCGCGCCGAAACCAGAGTAAAATTGAGACCATCAAAAACAGGCCCATTGGCAATCTCCCTACTCATCTCTGCTTCCAATAAGTTAATTCCCCCCTGCCCAAGGATCTGCCCACTTTCCATTCCTCACCGAAAATTTTCACTAGAGGGTCTCTAGTAGAACCGTTGAGTGTAGATAGGTATAGAAGTGCGGAGGACGTGGTAGGGGCAGAGATGAGTAGGGAGATTGCCAATGAGCCTGTTTTTGGTGGTCTCAATTTTTCTCTGGTTTCGGCGCGCCACCTTAGCGGAGGGACCGGGAAGCAGTTCCACGTTTTTGATTGGTTGAGTATATATAGTAATATTACGCTTGAGAATCTGGAGCTGTGTTTTGGTAGAGTCCCTCTAGTAAGAGTCCGGCCAACGGTGGGGCTTGTCAGTGAGAGTGGCATCAACAGACTGCAATAAACGCAAACAAGAACTGAATAGCATCAAAATAATCTACAAAAAATTGGGTAAGTTCAACAAAAAGTTTTAAAACATGAGAATTTTGACTAACTAACGTTGAATCTAAGTTTATAAAAATTCAATCTAACTAACTTTAATCTCAAAATACTACGTTGTAGAATGGAAAGAATTTATTCCATTACTTGAATGTAGTCATCGACATTATAGAAGCTTTTGCTAGATTCAACATTAGATAGTGAAAATTCTCATGTTTTAAAACTTTTTGTTGAACTTACCCAATTTTTTGTAGAATATTTCGATGTTATTTACTCCTTGTTCGCGTTTATTGCATTCTGTTGATGCCACTTTATGCCTATAATAGTCCTATGAACTATGGACTTTTATGTGGATTAAATTTTCATAGGCCATAAGCATTTTGAGGAGCCCATGCGCTATGTATCTGTATTCTGCTTATGGCTTATGGAATTTTATGTGAAGGGACGCCATATTAAGAGCTTGTTTGGCGCCACCAGAACATTGCGCGCGGATTCCCAAACTATCAATCTTTACCATCAAGAGACTCGGTCGAGTCTCGCACCAAGTACAGGCAACCCGCCGTACAGGGCTTAACACTACCCACACTACACAATGCGAATCTCTCTCATATACGTATTCAAACACACCATTCTATTCCGGAAAGAGCCCATAATAAGGCGGAGCCAATCACTGACAAGCCCCACCGTTGGCCGGACTCTTACTAGAGGGACTCTACCAAAACACAGCTCCAGATTCTCAAGCGTAATATTACTATATATACTCAACCAATCAAAAACGTGGAACTGCTTCCCGGTCCCTCCGCTAAGGTGGCGCGCCGAAACCAGAGTAAAATTGAGACCATCAAAAACAGGCCCATTGGCAATCTCCCTACTCATCTCTGCTTCCAATAAGTTAATTCCCCCCTGCCCAAGGATCTGCCCACTTTCCATTCCTCACCGAAAATTTTCACTAGAGGGTCTCTAGTAGAACCGTTGAGTGTAGATAGGTATAGAAGTGCGGAGGACGTGGTAGGGGCAGAGATGAGTAGGGAGATTGCCAATGAGCCTGTTTTTGGTGGTCTCAATTTTTCTCTGGTTTCGGCGCGCCACCTTAGCGGAGGGACCGGGAAGCAGTTCCACGTTTTTGATTGGTTGAGTATATATAGTAATATTACGCTTGAGAATCTGGAGCTGTGTTTTGGTAGAGTCCCTCTAGTAAGAGTCCGGCCAACGGTGGGGCTTGTCAGTGATTGGCTCCGCCTTATTATGGGCTCTTTCCGGAATAGAATGGTGTGTTTGAATACGTATATGAGAGAGATTCGCATTGTGTAGTGTGGGTAGTGTTAAGCCCTGTACGGCGGGTTGCCTGTACTTGGTGCGAGACTCGACCGAGTCTCTTGATGGTAAAGATTGATAGTTTGGGAATCCGCGCGCAATGTTCTGGTGGCGCCAAACAAGCTCTTAATATGGCGTCCCTTCACATAAAATTCCATAAGCCATAAGCAGAATACAGATACATAGCGCATGGGCTCCTCAAAATGCTTATGGCCTATGAAAATTTAATCCACATAAAAGTCCATAGTTCATAGGACTATTATAGGCATAAAGTGGCATCAACAGAATGCAATAAACGCGAACAAGGAGTAAATAACATCGAAATATTCTACAAAAAATTGGGTAAGTTCAACAAAAAGTTTTAAAACATGAGAATTTTCACTATCTAATGTTGAATCTAGCAAAAGCTTCTATAATGTCGATGACTACATTCAAGTAATGGAATAAATTCTTTCCATTCTACAACGTAGTATTTTGAGATTAAAGTTAGTTAGATTGAATTTTTATAAACTTAGATTCAACGTTAGTTAGTCAAAATTCTCATGTTTTAAAACTTTTTGTTGAACTTACCCAATTTTTTGTAGAATATTTCGATGTTATTTACTCCTTGTTCGCGTTTATTGCATTCTGTTGATGCCACTTTATGCCTATAATAGTCCTATGAACTATGGACTTTTATGTGGATTAAATTTTCATAGGCCATAAGCATTTTGAGGAGCCCATGCGCTATGTATCTGTATTCTGCTTATGGCTTATGGAATTTTATGTGAAGGGACGCCATATTAAGAGCTTGTTTGGCGCCACCAGAACATTGCGCGCGGATTCCCAAACTATCAATCTTTACCATCAAGAGACTCGGTCGAGTCTCGCACCAAGTACAGGCAACCCGCCGTACAGGGCTTAACACTACCCACACTACACAATGCGAATCTCTCTCATATACGTATTCAAACACACCATTCTATTCCGGAAAGAGCCCATAATAAGGCGGAGCCAATCACTGACAAGCCCCACCGTTGGCCGGACTCTTACTAGAGGGACTCTACCAAAACACAGCTCCAGATTCTCAAGCGTAATATTACTATATATACTCAACCAATCAAAAACGTGGAACTGCTTCCCGGTCCCTCCGCTAAGGTGGCGCGCCGAAACCAGAGTAAAATTGAGACCATCAAAAACAGGCCCATTGGCAATCTCCCTACTCATCTCTGCTTCCAATAAGTTAATTCCCCCCTGCCCAAGGATCTGCCCACTTTCCATTCCTCACCGAAAATTTTCACTAGAGGGTCTCTAGTAGAACCGTTGAGTGTAGATAGGTACAGCTTCATATGGATATTAAGCGAATTAACATCAGCAGAATTGACTACCTCATTACTACTGTTTATGTAATATACAGTAAGAAAGGGTGGATTCAATTCTCCCTATTTGAACGTCACCCGGTTTAAAATCGCGGATCTCCAGGAACACACGAATTCATTCAACCAATCAAAAACGTGGAACTAGTTCGAGAGTCTCGTTCAGGTGGCGCGTCGACGCGCCAAAACACAGCTCCAGATTATCACGCGTAGTATTACTATATATACACGACCAATCAAAAACGTGGAACTGCTTCGAGGGCCCTCCGCTAAGGTGGCGCGCCGAAACCAGAGAAAAATTGCCTTCACCAAAAACAGGCTCATTGGCAATCTCCCTACTCATCTCTGCATTGGCAATCTCCCTACTCATCTCTGCTTCGGATTTTCGGGGCGCCATCTACCCGCCGGGATTGGAACTAAAATTTTACTATAGTATATGCTTGACATACCCCCACCACGTCCTCCGCACCTCTATACCTATCTACACTCAACGGTAGAACCACACCTGTAATGTCAATTGATTATCTAGTGTCTAACTCATTTCAGTATATTTTAATAAGAATTCTACAGGTTGAAATGTTATTCTTTTAGGCAACTCAAAACAAGAATTTGTATCAAGTGTCCAGAGAAACGCTGCAGTTTTAATGGAGAATATTTGAAGAACATTAAGTAGTAGGAAGATGTCTACGCAGTATCATTGGAAATTATCAAGACAATTAAAAGATTATCTGAGTAAATCTGGGTATAATAGAAATATTCAATTTATACTAAATAAAGATTGGTTTAGCTTTCTTAAAAAATTAACTTATATAGAAATTGAAAGCTTTAGGGGGTCTTTAATATTTGAATATTCAAAGACTTCAATTCCCAATATTAGTTTGGATAAATGCAAGCAGAAGGAAGATGAGATTAAATCTTATACTACAAGTCACAGTATATCAAAGGTACAATGTACTCTTAAAACCGACTACCATGAACTGACGAAGCAGGTATATAATAATTTATATTACACTATGTGCAATATAGTATATATATCAAATTATAACTATGATTGTTTAATTCAGAGTTATGTAATAATGTTAAGGTACATCGAAAGTTTTATTTTACAGAGTAAATTTAGAAGAACACCTAATTTAAGATATAATCTGAAAGAAACTTCATCTTCTTTTTTGAAAATATTTATGAATTTAATTCCAAAATTGAATGTGAATAATAAAATATTGCCTGCAACGCCAAAATGGAAGTCAAATATATCTGTTGATGTGTCAAAGCATAGCATTGTATCACGAATGCAACATATTTTGAACAGCATATACACAGCAGAATCGAACGCATCTAAATTGCGCAGAATCGATGAGTTATTGAATCATATGGAACAATATCCAGAAGCTAGACATTATGCTATTAAAGGGAAGGCAATTACAATTTTACTTAAAGTGCGTGAAAAGATTAAAGATGAACAAGTTAGAGGTAAGTGTACAAAATTCTTTAAAAATTTATAAATATTTTAGAAGTTTTTTTAACCCTCTGCTTGTCATAAGGTCCTAGAAGTCTTTATATGAGTCACATAGGATTGCAGCCAGTCATGTTGCGCTTTGTAACAGTTTTGTGGCTCTTAATTATGCAATACGTCCGAGAGTCCTTAATTCTGTTGATATTTACTTCAGTCGTCTCTGACTATACTCTTGTCGAGTAGTTTCACTTTCCCGTTTGTGAACCTTCAATTCATGTTGGTTCCACCTAGACTTAAACAAACGCTTATAATAAGCAAAGGGTTCATACGATTCATTGACCTTGAAATATTGCTTTTATCGTGTATAATATTATAGGATCAATCAGAGAAACATTAGCCATTCTGGGTTACGTTGATCCTTTGCCTGGTAAAGGTATCAGAATTTTGTCAATCGACGGCGGTGGTGTACGAGGAGTACTGGTCATTGAAATGTTGAAGAAATTTGAAGAAATTACCGGAAAAAGAATTTATGAACTATTTGATTATATTTGTGGTGTAAGCACCGGGTCCATACTTGCAGCGGTTTTAGGTATGCCGATACATTCTTTTTGTCTATTATTATGTGTGTCTGATTAGTGAACCTGTCTATCACTTGTTCTATATTGAGTTAAATAGTCACATTTACCGAACATATCATGGATATAGTCGAAAAAGCGCCTGTTAATTTTGATGTGTTTTGATCTATTTGTAGTACATATTCAGAGAAGTCCTATTAAATACTACGTGTAACGCAGATCAAGTTTATCTCAAAATGATATTTGAGTTGAACGGAAACTGTGAAATCTGATTCACATAATGCCATTTGAGGTGCACACATTGCATCCTGATTATGCCTGAAGGTTATGCGAATGCGTTCGAACCCTCAAATTAGAAAGATCACACAGTCGAGAATCGTGCATAGAGCTTGTAAACGCTCTCAGTATGTACATTCCTCTTTTGCACGCGTATTATATGAATGACGAATTATATTATCCTACATCTAATATCTACATACATGATTATTACAATTTAGATTTATTTAGGTATACTCTATATTCCATATTTTCAAACATGTTACCTTATAGACCAAATGGTTCCCGAATTTGTAACGCGTTACACATTGAAAATTTGAATTTCACATTGAGCTATCTCAATTTGAAATGGGTGATTAATTTATATAATATATATTTTGACGCGTTGAATTGCACTTTGTAGGTATAACGCGAGAAAATAGAACGTGTCCAGACAGCATCTACTCACCTCAAGAATTAACGTTTGTTTCTCCTATTCTTATGATTTCTGTTATTTTTTTATTCCTGATTATACCAAATCTGTATGTCACACTCATTTGTCATCACTATGCGTGACGACAACAAGACAGCCATGAGAAAGATGATAAGAGAGTGAGCGGCCGGGTTACCTTAGGGAATCAGGTGACCTATAGTTGGGTGCATCTCTTGGGTTAAGTTTACCTTGCGTTTACCGATATGCTTAACGAGCTCTACTTTTCGAGCTGAGTATGTAAGACTTATGCTCCAAGATCCTATCTGGATGGTTTATCAACGACCAATTGAAGTAAGTTAACCCATTAACGCCCGAACATGTTCTGCTAGAGATATTATAAAGGTCAATACGATGTCAAGGGTTCTTGGAATGCCTGATTACAAATCTGATGTCAACATTGCAATGTTTGAAATGTATACAACAAAAATGGATTTCCATGCTGGGATCATTGTTGTAGCAGTAATCTGCACCATTTGCGTCCTCGTGGTGAAAGTCATGTAATGCAAAGAATGAGTTGGCAACCAATAGGCGAATATGTCACCATGTTCAGAATGTGCCAAAACGTCGAGAAAACACGTTTGGAGAAAATGTCCGGATGTGTGTGTGTGTGTGCGCGCGCGCGCGCGCGCGTGTGTGTATGTGTGTGTGTGTAATGGCCTCCTAAAATTCAAACGTGTATAACTCGAGAACGGTTTTAGCTACAGCCCCCCAATTTCGCAGGCATATGCAGCTCTATAATCCCCTCATTGACTATAATTTTCGTCATGGTTCATGCTGCGGCTCGGATTTTATGTCGTTTTTAAATTCCCAAAAAAAGAACGTTATCACTCTAGCGATCGCAAATTTTGTGATAATCGTCTAAATAGTTCTTGAGAAAGAGATTTGTATCAAAGGTTGATGGTATTGCATTTGGGCCGAATCCATCGAGAAGTTTTGATTTCATGATATTTTGAATTTTTCGAAAAATTAAATTTATCAATATAACTCCCGCCAACTTTGATCGATTGAGCTCCAATTTTCGAAAAGTATAGAGTATCATTTAGCCGTGATATGTCTTAAACTTGGTGGCGATCGGTAAAACGAATCTGATTATACGTATATTCAAGTTTTTGAATATCAGCCAATTCAAAAATATTAGGCCCGAAGAGATCATCTAACAGATTTATCCTTACATGCGTTCTCTATAGTATGAAGCACCCCAAGTTGTGAGAGGCATGGGGACTCACGTTAAACAAGCTGCAAGTTGAAACTTGCAATTTGCTTCCTCCGAATCGTAAGTAACGTACGAAGTCCCTATATGAGGAAGCCAAGAATTTTAATTTTGCAATTTGCTTCCTCTGAATCGTGGGTAGTAGATGAAGATTCATCTATGAGGAAGCCAAAGATTAAAAAAAAATGAAAATGCTTCGTCATATAAGGACTTCGTACACTACTTACGATTCGGAGGAATCAAATTGCAAGTTTCAACTTGAAGCTTGTTGTACACTCTATTTAAAAAGCTTACGCATGGAATTTATTGAAACACGTACCATTTGAAAGAGGAAGTAAAATTACAGTTTATATGTTTTTGCTCTTTTGCGGGAAAACACGTTTAAGGGGGTAAACTACCCCATGTATACCGATGCATGAATTTCCATATAGAGCCATTTCTCGCGCAATTTAAAAGTATAAATTATTTAAAAATATTCTCATTAGTGAGAGTCAATAAACGGTAAGTGAAAATTAACGTATTACCCGTAATTAAGGGGATAAATTTTATACTCAATTTATTCTCTCTTCAGATCTATCAAAAATTTGCTAATCAACTTCAATGATACTTGCAAGATATCAAGGACGGCAGCGAACGATAAGATGACTTACACTTTCAGATTACCAAAAAGCATTCTTAAGGGGATAAACTACTTATTACGCACGAATATTTTATTTTTCATACAGATTCTCTTTTCTTGCAATCCATTGGCCTTTATAAATTCAAAATATACATTTAAGTGAAAACTCACAATTGGTACTTTAAATATTCATTACTGGTTTTAAGGGGGTAAACGACCTGTTGGAATTTGTCTTTAAATTTATGCTATCTTGCTACGTTAGGATGGCTGGAATCACATCAACCTCTACTCTCGATATTTGGCTTCACGCCGCTTCTGCAACCCCTGTATGCTCTTTGATCCTGAAGATGCTCGCCGCTTGCTACGCGTAGTTGATCCGCCAGGTTGTGTGCTCCGATCTTGACGTCACCTCTCCTCGACAGCGCTTCGCCAGGCCCGTAATTGGCTCTTTTTCGGGCCCCGTCTCAATAGAAATTGTGTCGAGTCCTCTCAAATGCACTTAGTGAACTCAAAAACAAACGACACGTTCCCCACAAGGGAATAAATACAAATTCTTGAAATAAAGTCAGTCCTACGCCACGCGAAACGCTCCGTAACCCATCAGGCCCCAAGACGTAGCCCAATTCGCCTATTTTATTATTATCGAAAGAGTCTTGGGCCAAGTACAGGCAACGGGCTGTACAGGGCACGGACCGCTGAGTCTCTTTATCCGAGTCATGTCTGATACCTGTGTTTGGTATCAAATATCTTAGGAACCACTATACATTGTGACGTACAATTCGCGATCGAGCCTCGTCGGGAGATGAGAGACTGACCGGCGCACAACTTACGCGATTCCTTCGCGTTCCAGGCAACCCAGGACTAACACATATTAATTTGAAATAATACCTACGGTATTGTTGGGCTCCAGGTTTCAAAACGGGAACCACGTATACTTCGGTTCGATTCGTTCGTTCGGGCCTCTACTGGCTAGCTCAGCACCGCGGAGGCGTCGGGGATCTTCGAGAGTAAGGACAACTTCAACAAAATGAATACTCCGGCTTTTTGGTCAACAATAACAAAATTGATCTTTTATTTTGTGCGCCAGCTTCTTCGAGCCCCACGCTGGGCGCCAAACAGTTGTGACGTCAGCGGTGAATCTCGATGAGTAAAGACAAAATCGATATTTCTTTCGTGCGCCAATTTAGGACGCGACCACGCGGATACAACAAAATCCAAATTTAACAATTCCGAAAATAAATAATGGACCCAATAAGATCGCGACTAAAACCACAATGAATGACAATATCAATTTTAACTCTTGTCTTAATCCGAATTTCTACGAACAAATTTCGCGATATATTCCGCGCAGTCTAATTATTACAATTCGATAATTACATTCGTACAATCCGATAAACTTCATCATTTTCAACATTCAATAAATACGTTCGAACAATTCGCTACAATTTCGACATTTCGACAGTTTCAACTTCAATAAATATATCCGGACAATTCGCTATCGGTTCAATTACTATACATATACTCTCAATATTTGAGTCAAGTCGACAATTTAACGCGATCTAATCGCGACACTTCGAAAAACACGACCTCAAGGACTATTCCGTGTATCTCGGCAACACGTCCCTAAACTGAACGCGATACAATATGATTCGGAGATCTAACACTCAACATTGCCGACAGAAATAATTCATTCACACACAGTCGTACGCCGTTCGATTTACAAACGCGCGATATACATGTCCACTATGGGCAATATATTTACGCGAACACAGTCCCTTGCCGGTCGGCGGAATCTCGTACTCGAAACGAACGCGATTCTACGAGTGAGAACATCTCCCACGTACTGTGACCGATAATTGTTTTCGATAAATAATAGCAACACGGTTCATAATTGACCGAAGGATCGCGTACGGTGTCCTGTAAGCAAATCGTTAGACTAGAATTATCCTGAAAATCGCGAAAAGTCACGGAAACTGGGCGCCAGGCATCTGAACGATGTCACAACAACCGCCGGTAAATCCTCCGCGATACCCTGGCTACTCAGCCCACGGGAATGGTAGAGGGGCTGGTCCTTTGAAGACACACACACGGGAAGGATTCGGACACGAAAAATAAAAAGGCTCGATATTCAGTAACAATAACAAAAGAAGTAGAAAATATATTAACACGTCGCTCTATTGAGTGGGAAATAAATTACAAGATTGAGGATATTCGTGTAGCCAACGGGCCTAAACAAAATACAAAATACGGAAAACGGTCAGAATGGGAAATACTATTCGTGAAGAAAAGCAACCTAAAATTAACCCGTTTACGCCCAAACTGGCATGAAAGTTTTTCATTTTTCAACAGTTATACTTTTAAGGTAAAAGTTATTCAATCTTGATGAAACTACATGTCTTTATGTATTTTTGTCTGCTCTTTCTGAATCTGACCTCAA